CCCCAAAACCCCAAAACCCCAAAACCCCTTATTACAAGCTATTGTTGAAACCTAGAAGGATTATTTGCTGAGGAGTTCTCTTAGGTTTGCCTTGGCCTCAGTTGGGAAGCTTCTTTCCATCTCAAGTTCCTGCTGAATCCACTTTTCGAAAATATCAGCAATTCTGGCTCTAGCTTCAGTCAATTCAGGAGCATCGGTTGGATGATCTCCTCCGAGATCAACACAGTGAGCACAGTTATCACAATCAATAACAATAGGAATCAAGTGAGGATTTTTGGTCTCAGTAACACCAGCATGTTGCCATGGATCTTCTCCTCCATTAGTAAAGATAATCTTGGTTGTTGCTGGAGAAGTTGCTCCATATCTAGCGTTCCAGTGGTCAGCATCTGGGAAAATATTAATTCCAAACACTCTTTCACAGAATTCTTCCCAGAAATCAACCTCAATGTTGGCTGGTCTCATTGGTGGAACTCCTTCCTATAAAAACAGTTAAAATCTAAAAATTTGTTGAAGTGATTAACTGAAGTTTGATTTTGTTAAATAGAGTAGGCTCTAGCCACTATTAGATTTGTGATAGGTAAGAGAATTCTAGATTATCCAATAAAATATTTTACATCACAAATCTTCTAAATTCTACTTGATTTGGCAAAGAAATAGATGACAATAAGCTTCAGGAGTAGTATTTTGATATGAATATTAATTGCTTGTTTAGTCCTTCAAAGAATTTCTCAGGCTTCGAGCAAGCAAATTTATCAGGAAGGATTAGTACGAAAATTAATAACAATATTTTTAATAATCTTATTCTAATCTAATCTTGCTAAAGTTTAATTTCAGAGAAAAATATGGCCATGAAAATTTTAGCCATGTAAAAGAATTTAGATAAAAATTTGAAAATAGAGGAACTTACAGCCTTAGCTGGAGTTTGGAAGTATCCAAGATTAGCACAAGTCTGATAAGTCCACTGTCTCATGTTTTTGTCGTAGTCAATAGTTGTGTTTGCGGTGAATTCAGCAGTGTATTGTTCGAGGACTAATCCCATTCCTTTAGCAAAGTTAACCAAATAGTTAATGATCTGGTCCATGTCATCATCAACAGCCATTAATCCGTCACAGAAGTCAGTTCTTCCTCCATATTGAACTGGTCCGGCAATAAGATCTCCAATGAAATAGTAGAATTCTCCATCAACCATGTCTTTGTCATATCCGAAGGTCTTGAAAGCTTCAAGTCTGTTGCCAGAGTTAACAATGCTTTCAATGTACTTGTGGGCCTTCACAAATCTCTCTGGGCACAAAGATCCACTCTTAGAAGTAGAGAAGAAGACCTGTTCATCATACTGATGGTAATCTGGGATAGCATTAACCACACCTGAAGAAGAAAGAGAAGCGAAGGCAACATGTGGATATTTGTATCTGAACCATGCTGACAAAGCACCTGGGTAACTACCTCCAACGCAGATCCATCTTCTGTGGGGGATACCATATTGTTCACTGAACTCTCTTGATTTATCAGTGGCAAACTGAGCAAGATCTGCAAGTCCTTGGTCAGGAGTTAAAAATTGGAGATTCTCGGTAGACCAATCTTCAGTTGGCTGAGTTTCTCCATAAAATCTATGTTCAAGAGCAAGTACTCTTCCATTAAACTTCTTAGCAAGGTTAACAACAAAACTGTTATCTGCTGGTTGTCTGCAAGTACCTTCACCACAGATGTACAAAAAGAGAGGTCCGGTCTCTGGGTCCCAGTATTGATCGATATCATAATATCTTTGTTGGAAGGTACCCTCCTTCTGAGGGTTAAAGTGGTCTAATCTCTGTTCGTACCAGAACACATTGGAGTTCTCAGCAGTTTCGAAGAGCTTGTCATCATGCATGTGTGGGTTCCACACTTTAGCAGATGAGAGAGCTAGTAAGCAAAGAGCAATAGCAATCAACTTCATATTTATTATAATTTTCAGATTTCATTAGGGCTTATAAATATTGGGGTTTTGGGGTTTTGGGGTTTTGGGGTTTTGGGG